TTGGAGCAGTCAATGGCAGCACAGTTTCTCCTTCTGCCAGATCCCATAGGGAGTGACAAATTTTCTAGGGGTAAACCAGAGCACCGATACGTGAGCATCATTGTTTCCTCACCTCCAAGCCCTCCTTGATTGTTTCTAGGTATTTCTCACCTCTCTCACCTCAATGAAGAAAGAGCATGTTTCAAAGCTTTATGTCTTCTTGTCATTGAATCTATTTCCCATTCTAATTTCTCTTTCTCATTCCAGAAGGCGCATTACATTAATGGTTTAAAAAGTAACATGCAATGACTCATGGTCTGAGATATTTAGAAACACTTGCTTCCTATGAACCTAAGTAAGAGTCAAGGAGACTCTAAGGAGAGTCAAGGATAGTGTTAAGTCACCACCATCCTAACACTAAAACCTATGCATTTTCTATCACACAGATTCTACCTTGAAAATCCAGAGAGAGAGAGTGGGGGGCGGAGAGAGAATGCAGAAATGCTTCTACAGACACAACAGACATCTTGACCAAAGCTGTTGGGCACACTCTCACAGAAGTCGCTTAATATTCCAGAGCACACTCTTCTTCTTGAGCAGAACCACAGGCTCTCATTGGAGGACACCCACTATCTTGGTGCTTGACCCTGAGTTGGAGCATCTCAGAACAAGGTCTTGTTTACTTATTAGTTTTTCCTTTTCCAGCCATCTTTCTGAGTTTAAAAAAAAAAGTAATGAGAAAACCAGAAGAAATTACTATCATGATCCTCCTTTAAGAATATAATAGTTTAGATAAGAATTCAGTCTAACGAATATATTCATTCATAATAGGAAAAGAAGGTGGGGAAGGGAAGCAAAGCTATGAAGGGGAACCAGGAAAGCTACCAAGAGGCTGGGAGTTGGAGAAGAATTTCCATGCAAGAAATGTGGAGAGCTCTCCTCAACTATTAGACCTGCTTTTGGGATGGCTAAACACATAGGTATTTGGACACTTTCCTGTATAGCCTGATAGCCTTTTGTCATGCACCAACCACTGAAATTTATCTTGGAATCATGGCTGCCAGGAGAGGAAAATGCCTCAAAGCAGAGGTGGCTTCTGGACAGAGAGTACAGTTCCCAAAGACCATCGGGATGAAGTGGCACACACTAATAGTACTCATTCTCCATGAATTTGCACTCCAGAGTTTGCCACTAGGATGTTTGGTGATAATAAGGTAGATTTATTCACTATGTGGCAATGGAAAACAGACATACACACACACACACACACACACACACAGAGAGAGAGAGAGAGAGAGAGAGACAGAGAGAGACAGAGAGAGAGACAGAGAGAGAGAGACAGAGAGAAGCAGAGAAAATTGTAACTGGCCCAGAAAATTTTGATTTTGCTCTTGGTATAATTCATCTCCCCAGGGACAGAAGCAGCTCTAGCCTATTGGTGAGCAGAAGATATTGGAAAGAACAGTGATGTTAAGGCTTATTTTGTTGAAAAAAATATAGTCAAAGCTCAAATGAGCTGGTAAAGCTCTGAAACCCATCCACTTGATTAGGTTGCAAGTTACTGGGCATCTAAGCTTCCCCCTAGAGACTTGTCTTCAGGGGCACATTGTTGAAACTCTGGAATAAGAATTCCTTGTCCACTTTAAACTTCATCCAGATATCTGGCTTCAACCAATGGGCTTTGTCTAAGCATGGTTCTACAGATTATTCCTTCATGTAAGCTACAGAAGGAAAGAGGGGTATGAGCTACCCAGGTTCTAATAACCAAAGGGAAGAACGAAAACCATAATATCAAGGGGAATTACATTGTTCCCACAAAGTCAATGGGGAGTTTAAAATGATGTGGTTGTTACTGCTTCAGAGAGAGCCCTGGTCTCTAAAACTGAATTTTCTTCTTCTGCTTTTCTATAGCATCCAGACCCATTAAAATCTACTCGAAATAGAGAGGTACTGATATGGATTTTCTTTATAAAGCTTCCTCCATAATGTTTCCCTGAGCTGTACTGTTAACAGCTAGGCTGGAGGTTGTCTTTTTCATTTCTACTTTAAAATTTAATACGAAGCACAAGAGCTTTGTGGTTTCAATTAAACAATTCTTTGTTCCTTCTCTTAGGATCTATACAAATTGCTTGCTTGTTTTGCAGTACAGGGGATTGAACCCAAGGCCTTCACACTTAGCCATATCTCCAGCCCTTTTATTTTTATTGCTTTTATTTCTGAGACAGGCCCTTGCCGAGTTGCTAAGTTGACCAGTCTGGACACAACTATGTGATGTTCCTGTCCCAGCCTCACAGAGTGCTGATTTCACAGCCTTGTGCCACCATGGGTGACTTCCCTATGAATCTTATTCCCTTGTACTGCACATGAATATAGCTGTAACACAAGAAAGATAAGTGTCATTTCTGGGGAATAAGATGTTCCATACACTCATCAGCAGTTGGACTTGTTACTTGTCAGGAAGGAGCTTCATGATTCAGGTATCTGTAACGGTAGTCATAAGAAAGATGAAGTCACCATGGTGTCAAAGTAGAATAATCTGTCTCTCTTATTATGATAGTGGAGGTAAAGGGGCAGGAAGGAGAGAAATGATATTTGTAATTGGCTTGACTCTAAACTTTGAGCTTAAGGGAGATTCAAGTGCCTATTCTCTCTTCCCCCATGCAAGGGAATAAAAGTGGCCACCTCCCTCTGACCATGTCCTCCCCTAAAATCAGGTCCTGAACCATGCTCCAAGAACTCCTGTATAGTAAAAGTGATGGGATAAAAGGGATTTTCCATCTTCCTACTTCTTCCTTGTCTTTCATCTCAGGCTCAGAATGCCCACAAAGTAACCAAAACACAAAACAAGGAAACAGAAAACACAAACCAACATCAAACTAATATACTCTTTGCATTGTTCTTGACACAAACAGAATACTCTGAGAATGGACCAAAATCTATTCTGTGGCACAAACTACAGACACCCTCCTCTTTAGAAAGATGGAATGTTTCCTATTAATCACACATCAGTGAACAGGTGGATTGCATAAAAGGTAGCAGCAGAATTTCCTGGTCTACAAATGATTAAAGAATTTACTGTTATAATTTTGGGGCAGTATCAGTCTTACAAGTGTTCTCAGCAGACTGGAATGCTCATGTTTCTTTTACTTCAAGATTTAGGTGGCCAATGATTATTTATTATGGATCTGGAAGATATAGGTCCTTCCTTTGGAAGTTCATTGTGTATCTGAACTTCCCATTATTTTTACTTATGTTTCCAGAATGGATTCATACTTTAACAGTGGAAGCAAGCTTGCTCTGTTTCAACTTCCCTGAATGACATGGAGATAGGTAGAAGAATTTAAGAAGTTCTCCCTTGAGGTAGCCTGCCTAACCCAAACTAACACTGGTAGAGAACCCTGAACACATCCCTGGAGTTTCTGCCCCAGGTGACATCCTGCAAAAAATCCTCTGCCTTGTGTTTTTCTTGGGCTTTTTATTTATATGGTTTACATGATACATAAAAAATTTTGACCATAAAAAAATTATTCACAATGTCTTACTCTACAGAATGCAAATGTTTTTGTTTAATCTTCCACTTTTCTTCACTACAGAAAATTTTCCACCCTTTCCTTTCTGGTTTCATTTTTTTTTTTTGCTCTCTTATTGCCCTTTATAACTGGTCTTTTGATTCAAATGGAGTGTGTCTGTGTGTGTGTGTGTGTGTGTGCATGCGTCTGCACGTGTGTGTATGTATGTGTTCGTAGGTGGGAATCTATGAAAAAATATAAAAAGATTTATCTAAATAAGTTGCCTGGGTTTCATAAATTTTTAATGTTGAAAATTTGGGGTAGGTACACAGTTCAAGCAGCATTACTCTTTGTTTTGGACTGAGACTCAAATTTTCCAACAAGTTATGATTTTGGCAAGAATTTTCAATGTAACTTTTTTTACTTACCTAATTTTGCTGTCATGCAACCTTTTTGTGTATAAAATTAAAAACCATTATATTTCCCTGTCAAAGGAGGCCATTTGGAAAAATGGTTTCTCCCGTAGCTACATATCAACTGTAGTGGTACCTTGGTTCATGAACCTAATTCTTTCCATGATTCTGGTCACAGAATTTGTTCCAGGATTAATTTGGTTGCAACCAGAATCACAGAATTGTGGAAAGAATTGTTTGTGAACTGAGGTACCACTGTACTTTGATTTATTCGGAATGTACTGGACTAGTGATGGCAGTGGCCTCAGGGGCTGCTGGTGATTTTAGAAACCCCCTTTCTCCAAGGAGGGCCGGCTTAGCCAGGCTAGAAAATGCCACAGCTTTGTAAAGTGGGAATTAGGCTAAGAATTCTGAAGAAACGGCCCTTCTCTGTTCTTTGTGATCCATGTCTTTTGTCTGCTCTTAGGAATTAACTAAAGTAAATTCTCTGACCTTTGAAAGTTCCCAAAAGTCTCAGGAATAATCTTGTAATAAAATTACCCTTCTTTCTACGGCCCAAGGTGCCCAGCTATGTACAGCAGGCACCATCCTGGTTGTTAAAATACAGTGGGATTGATTGAACCAGATCGACTGGGCTCTGATTTGGAAACATTAAATTCTGTGTGCACACAGTTTGTAATTGCTAAAATTTGGAAACAGTCCAATTGCCCATCAACTGAAGACTGGATAAAGATGTGGTTTTTTAATAAAATGGAGTATAAAGAATGAGAAACTAGAGATATTTATAGCTAAGTGGACGCACACTGAGGCCATACTTTTAAGTGAAATTAATGTCACACATATGTAAATACCAAACAGTTTTTCTGTTGTGAAAAACTAAAAGTATAAATAAGGATCAAAATGTATAATTGATATGATGTACTAGGAAGAAAAGATCTAAAAGAGTAGAGGAAGTGGGAGGGGTAGGGGAAAGGGAAAAGAAAAATATGTGAAAAGGAAAAATATAGAAACAATATTTTTGTACACAGGGAAGCATGGAGGGGTGAAGGGAGGGCTGGGAATGGGGAAAAATAAGAACCAAGATAGGTCTTGTAAAGGTACAAGATCCCAATGATGAATGTAACTGTATTGTATACCTGAAATGTACCAATAAACTTAATAAAGCTAAAAATACTGTGTGCACACAATTTCTCAATTTCTCATCCTAATATTGTGTGTGTGTGTGTGTGCATGTGTGTGTGTGTGTGTGTGTGTGCGTTCCTTGGAGCTAACTTAGGGTACAAAAATACCTCAAGATCTACAAACTGAGAAAGAGAAGACAATGTAAGAAATGAAAAGGTAATGAAAGAAAACACAGCTTTAAGTGCCCTGGTTGACTTCCAATTGTATTCATATCAAAGATGGAGCATTTTAAAATATTTTATATTTTTCTCAATAAAAGCGCTACCTATTTGCTTCTTTACCCTCCTCCTTTCCTTCCTACATGAAGTCTGGCCACTTTCCCTCTTCTTGACTCTGGGAGAAGTAGAATGCACAAATAACTAGTCGCACAAGACACTCACCCCTATTCCTGTCACCACTGAGAACAGGACTCTCTACTTCTGCTCATGTTGCTTCAAAGAAAGAGTAGATATGGGTACACAGGTTATGAAGGTATCTAAGCGACGGGACTGTCTGTTCTCAGAAAGACTGGCTTCTGCTTCTCCACCATCTTAGCACTGATCCACTAATTGGACATCAAGAGACTTCATGGATTCCTAGGGTAAGACAAGATGGTTGGCAGGGTGACTAGGTTGTTCCGGTACAAAGAATATGCTCCCTTCAGGTAAAGCCTGTATATTTCTGTCAAATCTTGAGATGTCAGTGATCCACAGCTAGGTAGAGGAAGAGAGAATAAACTGGATAAGTTGTAATATCTCTTCCTTAAAGTACTCAAAGAATACTTTTATTAACCATAAAGTGGTATTAGCAATTGGGATGTCATTATGATTTTGCACATCAGCATGAGTGAGTGTGTGTGGGTGTGTGTGTGTGCAGACCTTAGAACACTCATGGCAAAGAGACTATCTAATTAGGTGTAGTTTGGCTACTTTGGTGAATAGATGGAAGCAGTTAATAAATTACCGAGAGCACAACTCAGCCAGAGGCAATAGAGAGGCCTCATCACTGGTTTGCAGATGTTTCTTATGTCACGTGCAAGGGGAACACTAAAATAGCCATTGACTTCAAAAGAAATGATCAACTATGACTCAAATGTAACAATGGCAGTTAACTACACAAACTATGCTGAATAGGACTGAGGTTTCAGGCATTATTTAAAAAAAAAATTTAGGGGAAAAAACATCTGTTCTGGAAACAGGCAATGTCCTTATCTAAGAGAGGCAAGCATCACCCCTGTCCCTGTGGTCACACCCTCCAAGGCCCCACCCCCATCGGAGCTCAGGAACTTCAATTCTCTTTCTGCAGAGGGTATACAGGGGGACTCATGACCAGGTGGCTCAGATTCTGCACAGAGGAGAGGTAGGATGAGTCCCTCCCTCTCGTCCCAGGGTAAAAACCAAGAGCTCTTCGGATGCTGTAGTCAAAGAGCCTGGATCTGGATTTAAAGATAACCTGTAGCCAGATGCCTTGCAAAGAGACTGCACAGATTCGGTTGGAACCACATCCTTATTCTTCTCAAGGTGGGTACAATTCTTTCTGACACTGTCCTGGGAAGCTGTTAATTTTTTCTGGAACTTTTAGTATTGGACCAAGCAATCTACGCTCCACAAGTGGTTGTGAAGGTAGCCCTCAGGAGGTGAGTAAAGGAAAGGATACCCAGATGTCATCAGGTGTGGGTCTTGCTCTTTGGGAGTTCTCTACTTTCTGAAACTGCCACCAAAGCCAGTAACCAAAGAGTTCTCAGCTTTATTTAGACATGAGAAGAAGCTCCATTGCAGACTTCCTGTTTTTTCCTTCCTCCTATATCCCTTATCTTTTACAGGTACTTACAGGAAAAAAATAGACAGAAATACTTCATGGGTAAAACCGAATGAGATTTTGGTCTAACAGAGATTCGTGAATGTCTTTCTTTGGAGAATGGCTGCTTTACCACCTTAGTACTAGCTATTATCAGAATATTTTTCATTTTTTAAGCCTCATAATGCAATGTGATGAGATGTATTTTGCTCTAAAATGTTAACTATCCTCATTCCCAGAATTAAGACTATTAGATGTAATTGGACTTTCGAAAAAAATTATCCACCTAGACTTATATTTTAAATTTTATTAGATATCTCCCAAGTTGTCACCAGTTTTACCCCAGCCTGCCAATAATAATTTCTCTACCCTCTCCTGTCTCAATGAAGAATAGACTTTGTTTGCTTTTTTGAAAAAGACACTTGTCACTGCCTGTAACTTAGTTCAGTTTTCTATAGTATGCTTAAATTAGCACACAGTGACAGTAGATGCTTCCCAAAGGAGAATAATTCATGGCCAATGACATAATGAGATTTATAGAGGAGGCTGGCCAGGAGAAGGAAAGAAAACATGATCAGTTACCCAAGCAGTTTAAGTGAAAGGACAGTATCAACTTTGCGAGTTTCTTCAGAGAGGTAAAGGAAGCTGATCTTAACCAGAACAAATAGATCACACCACTAAGTAGAACCCAAAGACCAGGGTAATAGCAAGCAGGGCTAAGAGATTGAAAGAACAGGAGAGCTGTAAAATCAGAAGCGATGTCCTCTAACTCATAGTAACAGATTCCTTCATATTTCCAAAGAAAGAGTTTAGAGACTAGAATTCTCTCTCAACTAACACATTTAAATCCCAACTGATTTTCATTTGAAATGTGTAGAGCAGAGGTAATGGAACATTACCTCAACTCTCATCTTTGCTTTGGGGGAAGGGGTTCCTGTAAAATAAAGGGAGGGTAAGAATCCAGAGTCCAGGAAAGAAATGGAGCATTATCAAGACAAAGTCATGAGCAGCACACAGAGTTCCTCAAAGTCTGACCTGACATGGTCACTGCAGGCGTGGGAAATACCGGTGCTAGATCCTAAACACATCGGTCCTGTTAGACCATCATTTGGGAGCCAGAACGTGGTGTGACTAGTGACCCTGAATTGGGACGAGGTTTTTCAACACAGAGATCAATCCAAGTATTGTTAGGCTCAGTCACGGTAGTGGTCTCTGGATACAAGCTCTACTCAATGCTTTTGAGCAGCTCCTGAGTCCCAGCATTTGATGAATGTGTGTCAGAGTCTCAGTCTCTCTCTCTCTCTCTCTCTCTCTCTCTCTCTCTGTCTCTCTCTCTGTCTGTCTCTCTCTCTCTCTCTCTCTCTGCTACCCTCGTATATAGAATATCCCAAATAGACTCTACTGACCACAAATCAGTCACAGAATGATTTCCAAGGACAAAGTGCAATTTAAAATAATCTACGTTCCCATCGGAAATGTTAATCAGTATGGAAGTGTGTGCATGCAGTGCACTGCTGTGATTCTGTGTAGAGAAACAGAGAGATACTAGAGAGTTCTCTTCCTGAAGTCTTACTTCAGATTCAAGGATCCAGTGGGCAAAATAGTGACTCTTTTTCAGTTATAATGTATAATAATATCAAATATTTAGTGGTGCCTTTCATATACAAGGTACTCAGGTAGGTGTTACATGAGACAAAAAGATGTATAAATACATTTCCCATTTAGGATCTATCAGGGAAGGTAAACATGTAACCAAATAACTATAAAGTAAGATGATCAGTGTTATGAGCATTCACAAAATGCCTAATTTTATTTTTTTAAATTTATAAAGTGTGAAGGAAAATAGATGTGGTGGTTACTTGTTCTGGTCTTTGGAGAGTTATATAGAAGGAATGGATATTATGCAGGAAGGGGTGAGATGGAAGATGGGGATAGCAGCATTTTGGGCAAAGGGAATAATTTAAAGAAAGACACAAGGAAGAAAACCAGATGCTATAGGAAAGTTAAGTGATCTCTTCTTGCCCGGGACCAAACACACACAGGGCAAGTTACAAGAAGTAATGCTTGATGGAAGAATGTGGCAAGTGAAGCCCATTAAAGATTACTTTTTGAGTTGAAGGATGACACAATTTGATTTATATTTGGAAAATGAAAACTGGAAAGAATAGACTCAGATATAAATTCTTGGAAGCATGCTATAACACATTGCAATAATCCTGACTAGAGAGAAGAGACTGAATGAAAAGGATCTGTAAAACTTTAGGGATAAGAATTAGCAGACCTTTCCAAATAATTATATGTGCAGGAGGAGAGAAATGGAGGAGGCACAGGTATGTGGTGAAGCTTCAGTTTGGTGACAGAGGAATGGTGGTCCCGTTAACCAAAAGGGGAACTTGATTATTATGTTGTCTTGCAGAGATAGTTTTGGATATTTGAGTCAATATGAAATGAGGTGACCGGAAGTGTGTGCTCCAAACTGAACTGCACACAGTATCTATGAGTAAAGATTTAAAATTAATTTTCATTCTGAATTAATAATGTTGTGCAAGACAAGAAGCTTGTTTGCAGATAAGGTAGAGAGGGTCACGGTCACCAGAGCAAGTGAATGCTGAGGAAAAGCAGGGTGCAGTGAGGTCAGAGAGGATGAGAGAGATAAGATGACTGGAATGCACTGTCTTACAATGATCAGGCTAAACCATGTCACTGAGGATAAAGATAAGGGTAAATAAAAAACCAAGTTATTGGACTTGGTAAAGAGAAGCTCATTGGAATGTTTCCAGACATTCCAGGTTGCAACCCTGTTATAAAAGCCAGGAGAACTAGGTGATGAAGATAGAAAGTAAAAGTTTTGAAGTGCAGAGAAAATAGAGATAGGACAGAAATTCAAGAGTCTAACTGAGCTGAGAGATTTGTCCTTAGAGATATTTGTAGGATTTGATTTTTGAGACAGTTGCAGGTAGGTGTGTGCAAGGCATTAAAGATGCAACATAGAGAGGTACTATTGGAAGGATGGAGACCACTTCAGCGAGGTCAGAAGGTAGCTTTAGAGCACAGGGAAGGGGAACACTGAGTGGGAAAGGAAATAGACAGATGAGAGAAGGACAAGAGACACTGAAAGGCAGAGAAGAGAGGTTATGTGAGAATTCAAAACGGGATGCTTCGTCTTGGTAACATAGGAGAAAAGATTGCCTATTGGAAAAAAAAAAGAAAGGGAAAATCAAATTTAACAAACAGAGACTGTGACAGGTAGTCAATATAGCAGAAATAAAACAGATGTCCAAGGCGGGTGGGGTGCAGGTGAGATTAAACGAATTGAATTTGTGCTGCTCTTGGAGATGTAGTGGATGATGGGGGTGAGGAAATAGCATTGAATAGCAAAATAGTGTGGTGAGAGTGCAGAAGAAGAGATTTCTGGCAAGAGAACTGATGCCACAGGGGAACACAAGGCCACTTGTGTCTTCCTGTGACCAAAGAGGGAAGTCAACGAAGCTAGATGATCTACGGTTTGACCAAAGAGGATCATGAAAGAAGGGAGATAAGATGGAAAAACTCCAAGCCCTTCAGGAGGGAATTTCAGAGTTTCAGCTTTGGGAGGTGTAGTAATTCCCAAAGAAGAGGCCTAGACTTGGCTGTGATGTAGACAGCTGAACCTCTGTAGTGTTTTTTTTTTTTTTAAATAACATAATGAATATCTTTGATTCATACCCTGAAACCAGAAAATATTAAACCTGAATGTGTAATCTTTAGTGGACACACAAATATTATATACATTGAAATATTTTATGCTTATGCATTCATATATTCTATGTGAGCATAATATATTCTATTTAAAACCTTTTATATCCTTCCCAGTACTAGCCCAGGGACACAGTTTGTACTCAGTAGTCATTGATTTAATTGAACTAACATATTTCACCAGAGGTTTTTGCTTTGTTCCCCCCCTGCATAGTACTGGATTCTGCTCCATCTCCTAAATCACAACATTAAAATAATGACAGATGAAAGTAGTTCAAGTTTAAAGCATGGAAACTAAATATTTAGGATGACGGTCCTCGTGTTGTGCTTCTTAATTGTACCCTTAATTCTTGCACTGACTTCCATTTCACCTTTGCCGAAACAGATGCGACACAGTAGAGTCCTGGGGCTATAAGGAATTCTTCGCATCCAGTCTACTTCCCACCTCCAGTTCTCATCAGGAGCCTTTGCCCTCATCATCACACCAGCGATTATTACATTTTGAAGCACAGAGCAGTGCTGGCCCTCCCTGTGACAGGCTCTGACATGTACACACAGGGGCACAGTGGCAGAGAGATGTGGAAGATTGCTGACTTTTCCCACTTTCCCCGAGTTACTTCTAAGTTATCACTCTCTGAGAAAAATTCCTTTTCTGTGCTTCACTATTGTAAACTAGAGGCCCTAAATTTCACCAGTCTCTCCAAGGCACAGAAATAACAGTGACTTTCATTTAAGGAATTTGTTTTTGGCAGGGGGCTTTGTCAGGGGTATACATAGGGACATATTATAAGTCACAGAATGCACAGGGTCCCTGTGTGATCAAACGGATGAGGTTGAAATGGGGTGAAGGTGGGATATATTCAGACATCCTGTGATTTTATATAATAATAAATATCCCACACTAGAATGAAATCCTAGATTTAGATCAATGTTAGAAGTTCGCAGACTAACTTGTTTGCATTTTAATATGGGCCCAAACATCTGATAGACCTAAAAACTTTCCTCACAGGTTAAGTAGCACCTGGTAGTCAAAAGGCTCCTTTACAGTGTGTATGGGCAACCAGTTTGGAGGAGGGGACGTACAGAATAGAGAGCAACTAGGCTAATGGGAAGATAACTGAATCAGGGCAGGGAACAGATAGCATAATTAACTTTTGTTATACTTTATAGTTTGATCTTCTAGCTGCTTCCTTAGTGTCCTGTTATGAAGGAGAAGCATTGTAAAGTCACAGTCCTTAACTTGCCCGTCAAGGTGTTGAATTTAGAAATCTATAAATGTCACTCTGTGTGACTGTGTATTGAAAATAATTCCCAAGTAAAAGTCTTATTCCACTGTCACATGGACCCTAAATAAAAACAGGTGGAGACAAAATGTGATTTATATGTCTTCACCTCTGGAACCTGTATTCTTGCTCCCTGCTCTGTTACTCTGTGTTCTGTTCTCCCTTTCTTGTATCACAGCCTATTCCCAGGAAAAGGAATGAGAATCCTAATGTACATTAGGTGTTTAAATGTATAAATCCCTAATATGGCTTAGTATGTTACTTTTCCTGGCATTGCTTTCATTTCAATGACAGATGACAAGCTCCGTGCTACAGCAACCAATCTGTGTGGGAAGCTAGCAGTTTGAAAGCCATTATAGGACCCAGACGTCATGTCTTGGAGCATATACCATGTAAGGCCAGAAGTGCTACATGATGACTGTCCATCTCAGACAGGAAGAAGAAACTCTGATAGTCAAGTGAGGAGAGCAAAGGCTCAAACATAATGGTTAGCAGCCCACTGAACGCACATTTCCTATATGGCTTTGGGCTCGGAGAGCACATAAGGTGTGATCACAATACTGGAAATGCCTAATGCATTCATCAATGGCACTGTAGCCACATTATTTATGCACACATCTGAGTCATTCCTAACATACCCAAACAACACACACAGTGTGTCAAGCAGGGACAGGGCCTTTTTAGAGACAGTGATTAAAAAAATAAAGTGAGTTCAGGAATAGCTTTTCCAAAAACTATTACCCAAACAATCTGGTTATTTTGCCCCTAAATCTTATATTTATTTATTTAAAAAAACAAACAGAAAGCCAAAAGCAAAGTAATCCTATTTCTTAAGTGAGAGGTGCAAGTGACCAGCACTCTGCAGAGAATTCTCCCTTGGGCATCTCCTGATGGCCATGAAGGATGGAGTGGGTGACATTCACTTAACTGTATAGACAACTCCTATTTTATAACATTCCACATGCATTTTGGCACTACTGACACCACCAACATTTAATGGAATCCCCCAAATCACAACATGGCTATGGCCAGGACAGGGGAATGCATTGTAAGGATGCTTCCCAAGATCTGGCTGAGGACTCACAGTGACAACTTTGGAAATAACAAAGCCCACTGCACATGGGTCACTCTGAAGGATATGCACATTCTTGATTCAGGCAAATTCAAGAGTCAGATTATTGAGGTTGATGGAAATGCTGAGATTTCAGCAATGCCACTGAAAGGAGAGATGCAGGGCCACACCCACCGACCCACTTCCGCCATGGAAGGGTAGGATGAAGAGCACACGAGAGAAAGCAGGATTCTGAAGAACATGGGAACACCAGGTGCTCCTGAGGGCATCTACAGAATCTCACAGTTTTCAATGGTTTGGGCCTTGGTCCACTTGCATCAGTGATATACTTGGGGCTTACTGCTGAACTCCTTCTCATGCATTTTACTGGCTTCTTACTCTGGATTAAGTAATGTCTACAACTTGACAATGCTCAGCTTTCCTTTCCTTAAACTCTCTTGAGCAGGCCATGAATGTTTTACTTGGTCTCAATTTAAACATCCAGTTGAAGGAGAGTGGTCAAGTGGGCCGAACAGTGGGCTCAGAAAAATGAAATTACCCAGATGATAGCTTCTCTTGATAGGAGGATAAGAACAAATGCAATATGCTAGGCATGTGGATTTGGGAATTTCATCCCATGGTAAAGAGAGGGAGGGAGAGTCTTCCACCTCCCAGAAAGCCAACAGTCCCATGAAGGAAATTCTATTTGTCTGGTTTACCCAAGATCAGGTTATGGACACCTGACTTGAAGCAAATAGCACCTTCCTGATGGCAGCAGTGAGAACAAGGCAAAGATAAAGTAAGCATCATCACTATCCCTCACATTCCCATCCTTCTACGTCCAAAATTAACTTCAGCAGTGTTTCTAAGGGAATTGCCTAGTCAAGTAATTTAAGCAGTCTGGCAATTTCTTCTAGAAAAGTGTGTGAATCTGAAAGATCCATATCCACACCTTCTCTTTGTAACCAGATTTTACCATATGCTTCAAAAAGCCGAGTTAGTGGACATTTTCGGAGTGCACTTGCACAGCTGATTTTTATGGGTGGGATGGGGGAGATTAAGAAGAAAAGGGTCAGAGCAGTGAGATGGTCACTAAATGTCAGGGATTCCTCAGCAATGAGCTTTCTGAGAAGCCACAACAAGGAGGGGAAAGTTCGTTTGACCTCAGTTCTGTTTTAAGCCCTTTCAGGAACCTTTGCTACCTTAGGTACTGACAGGGAAAATCTGGTGTCACCAGCCCGTCTTCTGTAGAGTGTGGGTCCCCTATGGTCTTTGCAGAAGACAGGAGTCAGACCATGGCTTTATTAGAGACAAACTAATCCTGGCAAACCCCAGGTCCCAGTGGGTGAACATTTCTCAGACACCAGTAAGAAGAATGGTTCTGGAGGAGGGGAAGGGCGTGGACCCAAATTACTTTTCCCTGGCTTTTCCACCATAGTAACCTGCATTCACATTCACTTTCTCCAGACACCCGAAGCAAAAGCCACACAAAACAATTCCCCCAAGGGAAAATGGAAAACCATAACAAAACACTTTCCCCCTCATTCCCATCCCCACCCCACTCCCTCCAGCCCAACACCCTGAATACTCACAAGAGAACACTTTATCTATACAAAATTAATTAGAAAACAAAATATTTACATATGAAATAAACACCATCTTGATTTCGGTCACCAGTGGAGACCACCAGAGCCCCCTGTGTTCTAGATTGCTGTTCGCTAGGTTAGTTGGCTTATTTATTTATTGTTTTTTAATTTTAAGGGGTGAGGTAAGAGGAAGAGTGAGGGGATGTGCTCCTGGCTCTTGGGCAGAGCCAGGGTGAAGCAATGTTCCTATGGCCCTTCTCCTTCTTCCTCCTGGAGACACCTCACACCCTCCATCCTCTCTCTCAAAGTCTTTCCTTGAATCTAAGGTAAAGCACTCCGTGCTCCTCTCTCCAAACCTGTGAGAGGTTCAGCCCCTTGCCCCCACGTTTGTTTTAGAAAGAAAACAGCTTTACAAGGCCTTCAGTTGGCTTTAAAATGAAAGATACTGAGGTAAACTCAAGGAGGTGGGGAGGGGACAGCAGTCAAGGGCAGGGAATGAGGAAGGGTCTCGAGGCATGGCAGACGGGAAGGCAAAGAGCAGCCTTGGAGTGAGGACGTGAAGAGACATGGTGGCTTTCTTCCAGAGGAGGGTGAGCACCTTTCTGGTCTATGTGTCCTGTGCACAACAAGGCAGATCCTTTGGTCAAGCTTCCAGACAGACCCAGGGCTCTTTGGATGCCACCCTGAGTGAGGGGAGGATGGCAGGACAGTGGGACAGACCCAGAGCACACCCCTACCCAAGTTAGAGGACCAGTAGTGACAGATACTCCTTTCCCTTCCCAATTTTCCAACTTGAAGTGAAGGGGGCACATGTCTGCTTGTACCCTCGTCCCTGGACTTTCATGTGCACACACGCACGCACACACGCACACAAATATATTTACTTTTGAATGGTACAGTGTGAGAGGAAACTGAGGTGTTACAGGAGGGTGGAAGGGCATCTACCAAGAGTGCTCACACTGGGCTCCAGCCACACTTCTGGGGAGCCGTGCCCAGGGAGATGGTGGGAGAATGTCTCCTGTGGGCCCTTTCCCACTTTACGTCTCTTCCCTTCTCTCCAGGCTTCCTGAGCTGTGCTCCAGGGGCTTTGCTTCTCTTACTATCTGTTTCCCCTTATCTGTCATCATCACTTCAGGCAGAAGAGGCCTGGTTTTCCAGCTCCAGGTTAAGTAAGAAGGGATCAAAGCACTGAAAACATCCCCCTCTCTCACTTACCCTACCACACAGGACTCCCCTCTTCTTTAAAGTCTTACCAAGCTATTCCCCCAACCTTGGCCTGTCAGGGGTCTAAAAGCTCAAAGAATTTCATAGAATCTTTTGCTTTCAAGTATGGGCAAAAGAGTTATGGCTGCTTCTATTTCCCTATTGCCCTCCTGGAAAGTTCTTGGCCTAAACTGGTTGAAACCACTGGTAATCACTGAGAAATAATTGTTGTACTTTGCTTCTGTAGGATTGTCTCATTTTTCTCTCTCTCTCCTTTCTTTCTTTCTTTCTTTTTTTTTTTTTGGTCTCCAACACATTAGCTTTGTCAAGAACTTCCATTCTCCTAATTCAGGAAGGTGGAAGGGAAAGACAGCCAACATCCAGGTAATACGACTGTCTCTGTTTGTATATAAGCCAAAACAAGTACATTACACAGGAATAGGGAGAAAAAGGAGTCAAGGTATGCATTTAGAGGCACCCAAGCGTACCCGGACTTACATGCCCACACAAGACCCCTGCCCTGGCTCCCAACACACTGTGGAACTCCATCATAATGAACTTTCCGGTCTGCTTAGGGACCCACTCATCCACCAGTGGCCTTTCACTCCAGTTCCCCACTATGAGTCACATGGAGCTGCAGCAAACACCTCTTCCTTTGGCTTATATAGAAACATGCACGGCCTGGGCACAGGAGCCTCGGCAAATGTCATCCATGCAAAAAGACCTTAGCAGAAGGCTCTTTTCACTCACAAGCTGGATGTTGACTGGTACCACTTGGATGCTTTTGCTTCCCTGCCTAAATGCAAAGATCAGTTTGGGGAAAGCTACTCTTGTGCTCAAGCGCCCGCCTTGTGCTCTTCCTGGCCTCACTCAAAGTGCATGCCAAAGAGCTCCTCTGTGCTAGGAAGACACGCTCTTACGCGGAGTGTGTCCTTTCTCCTCTCCACCCTCCTGTGCCAAGGGCCTGCTTCATCCTCTCGCAAGGGACCAGAAATGGCAGACAGATGCGGGGAGGAAGGGAGGACTGCAAAAGGGAAGAGAGATGGTGCCGGTCACCAGGGTTGCCTTCAACAGGAACCAGAACTCCAGGATCCCATAAATAAAGTAAAAGAAGAAGAAAGGAGCAAGTGGGAACCAAGTTCATCCCTGACCCGGCTGTGACAAGCGCACCACAGGACCCACAGCCCTACCCCTCCCGCGCCCACCTTGACCTCTCTCTTTCCTCACTCAGACGTCGGACTCAATACTAGAAAGTTTTTCATAAACATGCCCATTGCTGGAGCCATTGAAAGCCCTGGGGTTTTTGTTGTTAGGCACACAGGGGTTGGACTGGTTCCCTATACAGATGTCCTTCTGGAAACGGCCTGGCACAGCCCCGTGCAGGGCCGAGACCACCGGCTTGTTGGTGACAAGGGCCCGGAAGTCCGGCCTGGCTTTCGACGCACCTGCCACGGTGGGCTGCCTGAAGAAGTAGGATTTGCTGCCATGGAGCAAGCACTGGTCGTCCCCAAAAGTGGGGATGAAAGGGTTTTGCGTGACCCGGTCAGGGTAGAGCGACTTGCTGAGCATGTAGCCTCCGCCCGGGTTGTTGTGGTGGTGGTGTCCGGCAGTGGGCACTGAGGACTTGTTGTCGGCAAAGGCGCTCTCAGCGGCTGGCATCTCAAACATGTGGGCGTAGGGGCTCCCATCCATGAAGCGACCCTTGTCCTTCAGGCTCACGCTGCGTGGGGCCAAGGCGGCTTCCTCCTTCTGCAGGTCCACGAAGGTGTCGTAGGAGTGCTGCCGGCGCAGCTTGTTGCGATTCTTCTTCTGGGCCTTGGAGTTGGTCGGGCTCTGGGGGTACTTGGCGCTGGGGGCGTTGGGCGTCATGGTCACCGGGGCCGCCGGCTGGTCCAGCTCCTGCAGGGAGTTGTCCTCGCTGATGTCGTACAGGTTGCCTGCCTTCTTGCAGGCCTCGCACCGGATGCACGCCTGCCGGCCCGAGTTCTGCCCCGCCACCGACGCGGAGTAGTTGTGCAGCTTGGAGGGACAGCTGCGGCAGAAGTTGCTCCCGGCCCGGTCCTCCCAGTCC